CTGAAGCATAAAAACCCGCTGGCGATTTACCACTACCGCGTCCGTAACCCATCCGAAATATTTCACGAACGGGGGGAGATTCAGATTGCGAATAGGTAGACATACCGCCTTCCCTTTCCCGTACCTAAAAGAGCTATCACCCCTAGAAATAGCCCCGCGATTTCCACCCGCTTAAGAGATCTGCTCCACGGCTAGTTTGCTATGGAGTCATAACGCGGCCGCCAGTCGTTACTTATTTAATCCTCCTCGTCAGAGCAAACAATCAGAGCCGCAAAGGGGGGGGGGGGCGTAGTACCAGGATCCTTTTCCCGGGAGTGTCGTACTGACACCATCTTCTCACACATCACGATGCTGTACCCTGCTCAGTGGAGGAGGAGATGGGCGTCTCATTGATACTGCCGCTTCACATAACGTTCTATGGGACCATACGACGTCATTGAGGTGGATTATGTTCCAAAGTGATTAAAACCAAAATATTGGACTGCAAGCGTTAGATTAGTGCCTACTACACAACTATACAAAACTGCTTTACCTCGAACAACGTGTTCACCCATACTTCATCCGTGACAATTTGCCGAAGTTGTTCAGTGCAGCCACGCATAAATGTCACATATGAGTTTCCCATGTGACCAGTCGATTGTTGTTGCGTGACAGGAGCTTTCTGAAAAAGAACAACAACAGTACAAAGCTAATTTCGTTTTATTCCACATTGCTCGCCTTGAAGGACGAGTTGAATATTCAACACTTCGCCACCAACTTTTGGGGATTTGGTAAAGTTGTGTTGCCGAGGGTGGTGTAACCGACACTGTCTCAAGTAAAGCACCATCACAGAGATTTCATTCCCTAGCCAACAGTACACTTTGTTGAGCACCCCACCCCTTATTTTTGACTTTCTGGGCGTTCAATGAGGGGAGGGGTGGGGAAGGGATAACTGCAGCGCCGAAATCCAACTGCCGCCGACATCCTCGACTGACTTCACAGGGGATGGGCAAAAAAGACCTTTTTTCTCCTCGACTTTCACGGCGAAATAAGTTACACTTTATAAATTTTGATGGGACATTTCCACCATCGAATTCAACAACACATTGTACACGAAACGAAACTCCACCACAGCCTTCTGGACGAACGCCATCGAGAGATTCTGCCACGCGACCGTGATTCGGTGCCTGAGTTCAGCGAGGTCGTTGATTTCTCCGCCACTGTAGACCACCCTGTTGAGCTCCTCCCGAACCCGGTAATCGAGGGGTTCAGGTCAGGTGACACACTTAGATATTCCATCTTCTTCAGGTACTCAACGCCCTTCCATTCCAAGTAGGCGAGAGTTTTTCCAACGCCCTTCGATTCCATGTGCTGGCACCCAATCCTGTAGCAGTACGAAGTTTCCAAGACGGTACAGGCGACGACATGAAGGCAGGATTCTCCTCGAGTTGGTCGATGCAAGCGTCGGCCTTCTCAGTACGGGGCCTACGAAGAAAATATTGGTCTTCCCATTCCAGGTACGTCCGGTCCATACCATCAACCCGCGCCTTGGCGACTGCGGTGAAGATGATATCCTAGACCGTAGCGACGTTGTCGGAGCTGCTCGATGTTGGAGGTCTTCCAGATCAAGAGTGCCGGTCCCAGGTAGCTGTCCATGGGTGACTCCATACAAGAAGTTTCGCAGCTGCTTTGGAGG